TTCAAAAAATGTTTTTGATAATTTTTGAAATCGATAAAAATTAATCGATCTTATCTAAAATGGTAACGATATATTAACGAAATGATAACTGAACATCGGCTAACAATACCAATAATTTAGAGATCGCAGAATTCGCTTTAAAGATCTCCTCCTCATTACTTCTCTTAATTGCGCATTTCTTACCAATAGGAAATTCGGACTCCTACCATTTCATGTCATCCCTGTTAAAATCAATCTCTTATTAACCTGTGTGGGAATACGGTATCAGGGAATGCACATATGTCCCCACGTTTTCTTTTAATCAAAAATTTAATCTTAAGAATTCAGTTATAGACTTAAAGTGATCCTAATGATAGTCAATCGCTCTAACTAGGAGAGATTTTAGGGAATATATTAGCAGCCTGATATCCACTTAGACGGAAGAATTGTAGGAAAATGATAAGAGACATGAGTAGCAGATAAATAAGCGAGCGGATTTCTTCGATCACAAAATAGGAGTGCGACTGTGTAAGCGGGTGAATATATTCTTCACCTTTTCATTTTAAATTTCCAAATCAGATTTATTAAAATTATTTCCAATTTTTTTTCATGAATTTTTGAAATGCTGCAGAGCGATTTCTTGAACTCACCTGCTTTCATAAATTTTTGGATACTGCAAACTCATCTGCTTTACCGGGTTGAAGAAAGAAAACGAGTGATGTGATCTTATCCGATAAACAATGCAATGAATGATGAACAATCCGGTGATACTTTCACGAAACAGGTTGCATTACTGAAATGCTTTAGAATTTTCACAGAAAGAGATTGCATTGCTGAAAAGGTATGTTATACGATACATTTTAAATTATTCGATAAATTTATAAAATTCGAAAATAATTTAATCAAAATTAAAGTAATACAAATCAGTTCATATTCATGAAATGTTGGAAAAATCTTCGAAATCTTTCAAATTATCTCATTGGATCGTTTGAGATCGTTCGACCATTTTATTCCATAAAATTAGTGAAAGAAAAAAAGTATTGTTTTTATTAATTTCAAAAATCAAATAATTATTATTTTGAATTGCTGTTAAGATTTAAAATGAATTTTTGAATGTTGCGAAATTTTTTTTTGTTCCAATAAACTCTTCATTTAGTTTTAACTTAATTAATAAATTGTAAATTAAATATAATTATGGTACTACGGGAAACAAACATTCATATTCCTAATATTTGATTTCAAAGAAAATTGTTTATAAATGCTTAATGAATTATTCAATTATTTTTTTATCTTCTCCGATACTATAGCATATACATTCAAGGTATCATACATATGAACTTTTATTACTTTACGTTTGAAAAACATTTTATTCAGTAATTGAATAAAGTGATAATCGACATAATATATTTCATTTAAGTAATTAATTAATTAATTGCTTGATAAGAATAAATTATTTTATTATTTTCATATTCTTTAATTGATCAACAAGTTTTTACCTTTACATGCATTCGGTTGTTTTTCAATCAGCAAAATATTTTCACCTTTACAAACATTCAGTTGTTTTTTAATTTATTAAATGCGTTAGTGAAATATTTATTTCCAATTATGAGAAACCGGAAAATTTTACTCCAATTAAGAAAAACCGGAAAATTTTGCTCGTCCATAATTCCGGCAAATTATAAGCAAATATTTTTTTCCTTCTAACTTTGATTTTTACTCAAATTATTAAAAAAATTACAATGAAATTAATTGCTAATTTAATTAATTCGGTCGTAAATTTTCGACTTAATCGGTAAAATTGTCGAATTTTTTAAAATAACTTTACTTTTCATAATTCTTTCCCTTTTTTAAAAACTCACTTTATCTCAAAACAAAAAGAGGCAGGAAAAAGGAAAGGATAAATTAACTGGAATTTATTACCGGATATCACTTCGGAAAATCTCATCATTACATTCTAAAAGAATGATCAAACAAAGAATAATGCTAGCAGATATCCTGAATAATAATTTAACTGGGATCTAACTGGGACTTATTGCCTGAAACTTATACGGAAATTCATTAAAATTTCATGGTTACATTTTAAAAGCATAGCCGGATAAAGGAATAATGCTAACAAATATTCTGAATAATAATTTAATATTCTGAATAATAAATTCAAGATGTATTGTTGAATGTGCATGTGCTACATCTAACAATTTAATGCAACCCCAAATATACTATATACCATATCGATAATTATTCGATAATTAAATTTAATTTTAGTATTATCTAATTAACCTATGCAGTATAATAATATCATTGTATGAATTGTATCATATCTCAGACATATTTGTTCCAAAGAAGAAGAGTAATATTATTTAGATGATTTTCATCTTATCTCTTGTGATAATGAATGAATGAATGAATTTTTCAATCATTGAAAAAAAGAAAAATATAATTTAGGGGAAGCTATGAAGCGAAATATACTTCAGTAAGAAAGTTTCAAATTATCAATATGATTCAAGTTATCATTATCAGTTTCAAGTTATCACTAAATGAAATAATGTGTTACTTTAAAATTAGATATAATATTTAAAACAATTCGTTAAAATTAGCACTTAACTATAATAATATGAAATTTTAGCCTTGTAAAAATGCATATTGTTATTGGAAATATATCACAGTAACTTAATATAACAATCATTTGAATTTGCATATTCTGTTTGAATTTAAATTAATGTGATTAAAAGTATAGAATTGAAAATTACTGTATTTCATTATATTAACTTTTGTTATTTTCATGATTTGTTCTGTATGTTGATAACCTTATTAAATTAAAATTTTAATTCTAAAAATTTTAAGAAGTCGAGAATTAGCAATTGAAGTCATTGTTGGCTTAGGAAATTATCAAATTTTAAATTCACTGAATGAATGTTAAGTAATTTAGGCTAAATAATTTAGATTGCTTAATAATTGCTAAAAATTATTAATTAATTTTAGAATAAATGGTTCATTTTCAAATATTGTCGGAATTCCTAATTATTACTGCTCCATTCATCCTTTTAACTTTTTTGTATTGAAATTATTAATTGGATTTATAAGTATTTTTTATTATTATCAATTATTATTATCATTTATCATCACCAATTATTATTGTTATTAATCTTATTGTTTATTATTGTTTCAGATTAATATCGTAATTACTACTTCCCCATTCATTCTTTTAACTTTTTTGCATTGCTCTTATTAATTGGATTTATAAGTATTTATTATTATCAATTATTATTATCATCACTATCAATTATTATTATCTATTATTGTTCAATATCGTCATCCATCATTGATAATTTTTCCACATGTATTTTTAACTATCAAACGAATTCTTGATAGAAATTCCTAAAATATAGATTCCTAAACGTTCCTTAATGTCAATCAAAGTAGCCAAATGTCAAGTTTGACAATTACTAAATTCCAAAATTACAGTAGAATAACTTTAGATTTTCTAAATTTAAAACTTACTCCTCATATTTATTATCAAGTTATCAACAGTTCATTGATCATTCCTCATTTCAGATCGTGTTGTTCCTATACTACCGATCAATGTAAATAAAAAATGAAGCAAAGAAACTACATTTCATCAAAATTCCAACACATTTCGATGTTTTATAAGAGTTCGAGTGCAATAAAAGAAAATTTTACTACAATGTTGCATATGCATATTTTCACAACAATAGCAACAACAGCGTATCACATATTTGCCTGATATATGATAACGAATATTTCATACTGAAACAGCGTATCATAAATTTGCCTGATATATGATAACGAATATTTCATACTGAAACAACGTATCACATATTTGCCTGATATATGATAACGAATATTTCATACTGAAACAAACGTAATAGGCGTAGACGATTGCTAATCAATGAACATATTTTATTTGTAAAGTTATTTTTAACTCTAATTACTATCAATTTAAAAGTAATTTATAATTACAAATTCCCTTTTTTCATATCATTTTGTCAGTCTTCTTTTAGAAATAAATTTACTGCAACCAAATGATTGTATCTCAGGAACTGATAATATTTAACAGTTGTTGTAAATTAAAATTTGAGTCAAAAATTGACTCATTATTACAACACACTTTTATGCTGATTGACTGATTATTACAACATTCTTGTGCTAGTCGGGAGTGCACTTTGATTACTGATAATATGGGTTGGGAAAAAAAATCAAAAGTTGACAATGAAAATTTACCACTATAACACTTTTATCCTGTTATCTTCTTGTTGGAATCAAATTTGCTGGAAATTTCATTCCAATTGCTGATAACGCAGATAATCAAACTGATAAAAGATCACAGTATATGAACCATTACCAGCTTTTTAAGTTTGTTTAGCACCTGCTATCATAGATACTGTTAATCATTTGTTTAACGCAAAACAAAGTGAAGCTTTTCGTTACCTTTTCGCTTTACATTCAATAAATGAACTTTTATTTAATTTACAAGATAAGATGTTAACATTGCCAGAGATCAATGCAAACATAGAAAATCAATATAATTCATTATTTCATTTGAATTTTACGTTTGCATAAAAGGATCAAATCTATCATATCATTCAAACTTGAATACATTAAATATTTTAAGATAATTTCAAACAATATTTCTTAGTTCTTAGCATTCCGTTATAGATTATAGACTTCGAATTTATCATGATAAATCAATAGCTAATAAAACTAACAATCATGATTAATTGATTTATAAATTAGATGTTTATGCAAATTATGTAAACAAAGGATTTTAAGACTAAGAAAATTTCATCATTATTATATGAGTAAAACTTTCAAGATCTTCAATTGATTGAATTAAACTAAGAAATCATAACAATTATACGAATATGACTTATTTAGTATGAAGAAAAAGTAAACATATACAAAAATCAAATGACCATCACGTTGTTATTGTTGTCCATCACGTAAAAATTCTATCTTACTATCTTGTCAATCACATCTGATCTATTTTCTTGTCATCCACTTATTCATCCACCAAATCCATAAAGTGTTCGACCTTGTCGTTTCAACGCATAAACTACATCCATAGCTGTTACTGTCTTGCGTTTCGCATGTTCACAATATGTTACTGCATCACGTATCACATTCTCCAGGAATACTTTCAAAACGCCACGTGTTTCCTCATATATCAGTCCTGAGATACGTTTCACTCCACCACGACGTGCCAAACGTCGAATTGCTGGCTTTGTAATTCCTTGGATATTATCACGTAACACTTTACGATGACGTTTAGCTCCACCTTTTCCCAATCCTTTGCCACCTTTACCACGTCCAGACATCGTAAATACACCTGTGCAGTCAGCACTCACCCGCTAATCTCCAACACCAATTAACAACAATATTAGGACCACTACTGCGACGAGCTTATATAGCAACGCTTGGCACGACCTCACCGGGACTCGTTCAATACCACACATACACATCCCCCACCACCTCTCCTGGACAATTTCACCAAAGGTCACCAAACAACCACTAATCGACATGGAATGTGAAAGTTGCCCGAGATATATGGTTATACATCTCGTGGAATCACTACCGAGATCACCTTGACTTCTTCCTCATTTCGATAATAATCTTTTACGAGATTCACATTGAATTTACTACTACTTCATTCAGTGTCTGTGCATGCATGTGACATTTTTGATGTGAACAGTAAGAAAGGTCAATAAATGATATTTATTAGTGTAAACATTGAACGATGCAATGACACACGAGATCAAATCTGTGCGGCAGATTCCCATTGTATATTGTGATTTAAATTAAACAAGTATATACAGACAATGATAGTAACAGTGAATAATAAATTGCATGTGATCCGAGGATTTTACGAGAGGTAGACGACGAAGGTACAGAGGGCAACCATAGGAAATTCAATTATCACCACAACTTTTTTGACCTCATACTACAGTAGGGTTCTTGAATATCATTTGAGCACAAACTCTGTTTCATTTACTTTACACCACCAGGAAAATGGGCAATCCAAGGGTTAACAATAGCCAATTACCACGGGAGAACTGCATTTTTTTGCACTTTTTACACTTTTTCAGCGGTCTTCTTCGGCAGTAGCACCGCTTGGATGTTAGGCAACACACCACCCTGCGCAATTGTCACACCAGAGAGTAGCTTGTTCAATTCTTCATCATTGCGCACAGCCAACTGCAAATGTCTCGGATTGATTCGCGTCTTCTTATTGTCACGCGCCGCATTTCCCGCCAATTCCAACACTTCTGCTGCCAAATATTCCAAAACCGCAGCTAGATACACTGGAGCACCAGCACCAACACGTTCCGCGTAATTTCCTTTACGTAGCAGACGATGAATTCGCCCTACTGGAAATTGCAAACCAGCACGCGATGAGCGGCTTTTCGCTTTCCCAGAAGATTTCGCCTTACCACCTTTTCCACGTCCTGACATAATTTAATCTGAAAAAATGGAAGAATCTACAATCTATAATCTAACATTATTATACAGATACTTCTTACGTCCTACATATGCAGCAACCCCTTATCATCTTCCCCTGTTAACGAAGAGGCGGAGGAATCGCACACCCTGATCCACCATCAAGCAAATAATCCTCACCTCAGCAAGCCGACGAGACTGTACTTCAACACACGCACGCACGTCTGACGAGTTCCCGACCAAGCGTTCACTATTTATAGCCTTCAACGAGCGGACTGAATCTGTTAGCCACGCCTACCTTCTGTAATAAAGTAGGCGTGGTCTAGTGGTATGCAACGCTCGATAGTTCGTATAAAAGGGTGTGCTCCAAGTTGCACATTGTCGGGATAATTTGCTTGTGATAGTGACTGCACCAGATTGGGCAGTGAGGGGTAGTGGTGGTGCGGTGCAGCGAGTTGTGGGTTTGGTTTGTGGGTTGTGGGTATTAGAGGTGGTTATCGCGTCGACTAGTTGGGGATACATGCATCGTTATGATGCTTTGACGTTTATTCCATGTATGAGAAAAAGTAATGTGTCGCAGATGGAGGATAGCGTATAACGGAATAATTCCTTCAAGCAAATTCACGGATTTTCATGGGTTATGAGTTATGAGAGTTATGAGGATTATTCATGGGTTTCATGGGTTATGACACATTGTTTGCTACGTTGTTGAATTTCCTTCTCACTTGATTTAAACAAACGGTAAGAGCAGTTGGTTTCTTTTTGGTTTCCATTCCAAATATCTTTCCTTTCAGATCTCGTATATTACGCAGCAAAGATTTACTAAGACGATGCCACCAAAGCCATCTGCTAAGGGAGCGAAGAAAGCTGCGAAATCGCAAAAAGTTCGAGGTAGTGATAAGAAGCGAAAATCTCGACGTAAGGAATCGTACTCCGCATATATCTATCGTGTCTTGAAGCAGGTTCATCCCGATACAGGTACGATTTCAGCTTGGACGAAGATATGAAGGGGTTTATAAAGTAAATGAAGGAAAGCGGAAAATCTTCGACTTTTTGCAATAGGAAAAAACGAGCTCTGGGATAGGTATGTATTATGAATGTACTTAATTTTGGATTATCTTCCGGACTCGTTTTTTTTTACAGGCATTTCGTCGAAGGCAATGTCGATCATGAATTCGTTTGTGAACGATGTTTTCGAGCGCATTGCCGCGGAGGCAAGTCGTTTGGCTCAATATAATAAGCGTTCGACAATTTCGTCTCGTGAAATTCAAACTGCTGTTCGACTTATTTTGCCCGGTGAACTAGCAAAGCATGCTGTATCTGAAGGAACCAAAGCTGTTACCAAATATACTAGTTCGAAGTAGATGTGTACGTATGTAATGTCCGAGTGTATATGTTGTGTGAAACATCCTGGAGGTGATCTCATCATGATTTGGTAGGAGTTAGGTGTTTTGGTGAGGGAGAAGAGCTTTAAGAATTCTTTTTTTGAGGAAACAGGGTTAGTGTTATAATTTTATAGTTACGGTCTTTGTTGATGCAACTTATGATAATTAGTTATGATCATTGTTGATGCACATTTCAGAATTTTGGAAGTCACACCATTGTTTTTCCCTGCAAGCCATTTACGTGTCAAGTCTGAGTGGTGGCTTGGGGAGTACTATTTCTGTGTTCATTCATCAGAATTATATTGTATTTTTTAATGTTTTGCGATGGATAAAGTTGAGTTGAAGCTAGTTTGAACTGAATATTTATACTGATGCGTGGACCTGCTTGTGCTGATGCTGGGTTGTGCTGGCAAAATTTTAAAATTCAAGGGTCAAATTTTGCTACCAATATAAATTTGAGACTGCATATGAAGAGTTACTCCATTATGCTCACAAATAAAACCGATCACTGAAGTAGAAATGAGCATAGAGGAATGAGTTAATACAACATTACATATGATTTGCACACGCGTTGAATCTGATGTTTTTAATAATTCTTAATAGAAAATGACAAAAATATGATACAACAATGCAGTAATAACTGTTCTTATTCCATGCGTTATCAAGACACTGACTGGTAATTATAACATTATTTTAAGTAAGACGATACACAATTGTTTAGAAATAGCTATTGAGCATTTGTTGGGAGATTGAATATGCATTGGGGGATTTCGGAAAGGCTACATGAATTGATTGTTACAGCAGTCAATAATCAATAATCTTATCATTGGACGAGTGCGTAAGTGGGATACAATCAATGTTGTGCATATACTATATAACCGATTAAAGTGATCACACAAATTGACTAAATAGTTATAACAGATTAATGGCCTGATCATTAACAGTAGTCGAGTAACATCTCTTTGACAGAACCAACTAACAATCAATAATATGGCGGTTGATTGGTAGCTGCAACTCGACCGATTGTTTGATTGTGAGTCAGTCGTACAGTGAATAAATAATATGTATGAGGTTCTAAGTGACTTACATTGACTGCATCCAGTGCTGATCGTTGAAACATTGCGTTCACAAACTGATTCATTAATTGCTGTGCTTGCGTAACACTCACCGGATCGAGTGATTTCAATGCACCAAAAATTTGTGCCGAATAGGATTTCGGTATTGTTGAATATGACGTACTTGAAGCAGTTCGGTTCTTTCGACGTCGCTTCCTCGAAAATCGTATCTTTCGTCGCGTACTTCGTCCCCTTTTCATATGCGGTAAACATCGGAACTACTGGAAAAAAGTTTTTTTTTCAACTATATAACAACATAATACAGTTTTATCTTACATGATGTAATTTTGGATTTTAATCTCATTTATTTTATTGTAAATTCGCGAATAATTAGCAACAAAAATGTATTATCATGTCTTAAAACTTCGTAATAATTGGTTATTTTTGTAGTTTATCCCTAAATACTGAATAATTATTAAGATAATTATTAAGAACGAATAAATCTCAACCCTATTAAACTCCATTAATTACACTAATTATTCTATTCATTTCTCATTTTTTTATATCAACTTGAGACAGTAATAGTTTTACTCTCTCGATATGAATGAGTAAGATGATTATTAAAAATGAATAAAATGGACTAAATCGGAATTATTTACCTCAGTGCTTCTCTGCTTGAAAGGTCACATCTGCTGTTGACCAAAGGTCATATCTACTATTGATCATTCTATCTCAGATAAAATAGATTGTTATTCATTTTATACTTCCTTCTCTCTCCCTAGTTGACCTTTCGTCCCTAATCAACGCCCCATTTAGGATGCTAGAAAAAATCGCTCCTACCTCTTCTCCAGGCGTTGTCTTAGTGCCATTCGAGGCTACAATATTCCGTTCTACGTTTCGAACAGCGTTCAGATCGTCCTTCGGCAGGCTCACCGTGCGTTACAACTTTTTCGGATTTCTAGTTGGCCGTATTGCTCACGTCTGTGAACAATAGTTGATTATTATTCCAATTTAATTGATACTTATTTCCAGTAGAGGACCATTATCAAATCATACGCATTATAACCTGATGAATTGGCTAGGATTTGTAGCAATTCAATGGAATAACGAATTTAGCACGGCACCATTACAATTTCTTTAATTCCTCAAGTATTAAAAAGTACCTTACAAATTGAATGAATCATGAATTTCCTTCATATCTATTAACATTTTTCTTTTGTAGTGTGTAAATCAAATATCGCCTGAAAAAAAGAAACAAGAAAAGATATCGATCTCCATATTATATTGTTGTTGTTAACGATTGGTTTTTACGACAATATCCGACTAAGTTTCCGTATCTCAGAATTTAGATCTTATGAAACGAGCAAAGAATTCATTATTCGAAATGAAATGAGTAAAGAATTCAATATTCGTTCTTATCTTTGCAAAAAAATAATCAAGATTGAAGGAAGAATTCGAGGTCAAAAGTGTGAGAGAAAGACGAAGTCTGAGTAAAGAATTTTCATTTTCAAGAACATAAAGATATCATGAGAAATGCTAAGTTCTCCTTTGCATGACAAACTTTACTTGTCACCTGTTTACCACATAGTCGAAAGAGGTCGACAACTAAAATCTCCACTACAATAGGCATTACTATTTACAAGAATGGACATTACTATTTATGACCGTCCACAACATTTCCTATCACTGTTTGAAATACCGTGAAATTACTCAAAGTCTAATATTGAATTTTTTTTTCGTAAGTTGATATAACGTGAAGGATCGTAACAGGTCACTGTACTTTAATCGATTCAAAGGGTATACTTGATCATTTGAGACTTTCCCAATTGAAAATATATTCTGATGATATCCAAATAATGAGGAGAATTCATGGCAAAAGAAAAACAACGGAGAAAAAGGTCAAATGAGAAATCATACGAAAAATAATAGTATTGCATAAATGGCGAGGGGGACCGTATAAGGACAAAAATTAGGACTATAGAACATCATATGGAACAAAATACAAGAAGTGGTGTAAAAATTTCATTATCAATATTTATAGTATTTCTATGAAACTATTTGATCCAACATCTAACTGATATGTTATTTTTGATTGAAATTTATTGAGGAAAAAAAAAAGATTTTTCCCGAGTATTTCCAGAATAAAGCGATCGGGATATTTTATAAATTTACAAACTATTTGGCATAATTTTGGGTAGCAAAAAAAAACTTTCCACTTATATATAATTCTTCATGTTAATTTTTGTGTGAGCCAAACGAAATGAGACATCCAATTTGTACCAATCATTTTATACATCCTTATCCTATTTTAAATTTTTTAAATCATCTGTAAACAAAATGGATTATGGAAAATAGAATTGAAAAAGAAAGTATAACAACGAAATATTCGTTTGCTCTCATTCTTTCCTGATTAAAATAACACAAATTAATGAAAGATACCGACAATTAAGTAATTAAGTTAAAAAGCAAAATAATTTCTTTCCTGATTAAAATAACACAAATTAATGAAAGATACCGACAATTAAGTAATTAAGTTAAAAAGCAAAATAATTTCTTTCCTGATTAAAATAACACAAATTAATGAAAGATACCGACAATTAAGTAATTAAGTCAAAAAGCAAAATAATTGTTGAAAATTTCAATTATTGCATTTAATAAATAATAATTTCGTATATAACTTAATTACTTTTTAACTTAATTACTAAATAAATATATATAATATATGCGCAAAACATACAAAAGCAAAGTTCTTTTGTTTTATTACTTTTAATAATTTTCATTTAATTACTTTCATTTATTTATTCTTACATATCAAATTAAATATGAATGGGATCATCAATTTACGAAATATCATTATTTACAATAAATTGTAAACAATTTTTTTATTTGAATTTGTTTAAATTTAGAATGAAATTATCATCAAAGAATAATTAATTACAATATGATATATCAATTAATATATTTTCTAGAAATAAATTGATAATTAAGTAAAGTATTTATTTCATTCCGGAAAATTATATTAAAACAAAATGAAGAATTTAATCTCATTTTTTTTTTAATTTCAAAAACAAAAACGGAAGAAATAATGAGTGAAAATGAAACACTACTACTTGTAAGAAATATTAAACGTTACGTTCATCACGTAATATCACGTAACAGTCCCAAGTAATACTTCCCTGTCACTTACATTAAATCCATTTTTAATTTATATCCATTAATTATTAAAATGCACTCCACATTTTATCACTAATCAATATAGTTTGTATTCCATTAGATAGCTAAATGCTGATTGATTTACCGAATAATTTTGATGAGTAATAAATTATCTCTCATAACGTAAAGATATATTAACGCAATTAAAACTTTAGATATGATAATTTACATTAAAATAAAAGAATTCACACAATCCTTAAGCCATCCTTAAGCCTTAAGCCTTAAGCCATAAATGAAAAGCTAAATTTTATCATTTCGATATCGTCATTTATCGCGATATTTGTTGTTTTAAACATTTTCACTGATTTCAAAATTACAGCATTTAATTTAATCTCCTTCCTGACCCCATTTTGTATGAAAAGATGAAGTAATACAAAGGTTGCAGATTGACCCTTGTATGAAAAGATGAAGCAAAGGTTGCAGATTTAATTTCAAAAAAATTTTTGATGTTTCAAAAAACTTATCCGACTTTTGCCACACTCGTCAAATTGTCACATCACATTCTACTATTTCCCTCCGTCTTTTGAGATATATTTTTCCGGATCTTATGGGAAAAAAATTTCCTTTTGTGGAAATAAATAATTGTCAGGAATTCAGAAAAGCTTAAGGTATGAACTAAATAAAGCAATGACGGTAAGAAGTTACTTGCACTCCGATTCGTGCATAACTTCTTGCAAACCGGTATGAATTTTGATAATGGAATAATCATAGTAATATATTACACCTACAGATACATAATCGACTAAGTATTAACTGACAAAACATTACTAAATCTCCACTAATTCAAATAGTACGGTATTTGTTATCTCTGGATATCTCCCAGTTAATTTTCAAACATTAAAACAAAAACAAGATCCGAAATTTCGAGAAGGTAAGTTCGCATATTTAAACACTAACATCAAAAAACACTTCTAATTGATAACCTTTAATTACCATAAATTTCAAATGATTTTTGTTTCGGGATTTCCCGGGATTTTTGGTGGTAGTCATCAATTAGTTGATTAAATTCGTTTATTGACAAATGCAGCTCCCTCTTGCACGCCTTTCTCCTCCCTCCCTACTAATCTGCTTCAGCACTCAATGAAAGTATTCTCCAGTAGAGTTGCTTGAAAGCATTCGGAATAATTGATACTTTCCCGGTTCCAACAGAAGGGACCATCACATTAAGAGATGCTCTCCAAGAGATCCTATTCCAGTGGTTATTACACTTTCCCCTCTCTATAGATAGAAAACATCGACAAGAGCGATAATGGCAGCAACGGATCTATTTATCCGAGGGTTCACAGAATTATATGTCTTCGCTTTGCTTCTCTACCGCTAACTCTTTTTCCGGAATAGTTTGTGGATATCATCCCTGCCGGGAAGATGGAGAGGGAGAGAGAAATACAGAGACGAAAACCTGAAGTAAAAGAGGAGAGGAAGAGATGGTAAGAGAGCGAAAGTGGAATTCTCGATAACAACTCCACCCTCCCGCTATCATCGATTTTCACACCGGTCGATGCATCGAGGAGAACTGTCATTCCGGGCACATCACACATCCCTCCCTTCTCGCGAGCAACAACAATAGGAGCAACACGGCCTTGCCGACAAGAATGGTCGATATCGAGGTGGGGGGAGGAGGGGGAGCCAGGCAGTGGTATGTGTGCCCGGGGGGAGTGCCCATCTCGTCATCCCAATCCCAACCCGACCCCCCGCCCTCTCCCGATGCTCCCTCCCTCTACATCGCCTAGCAGCAGCTCTCGTACCGCACCACCACTACATCTCCTACTCCATTCATACCCCCTACCACCACACCACCTCATCACCTGCACTACCACACCTACCACCGCTCCTCTGCTTTGCTCATACATTTCCAAGCTGTTCTATTCAGTGAGGTGAAGACACCTCAACTTCATCTTCATTTTCGAAAATTTCCCCGCACTTTCCAGTTATCGGAAATCTCGAACATAGCTAGTTTCTCTATTACTCCAATATACGGCGTGTGTTATCATCACGGGTTAGGTTGGTATTGTTCATATTGTATTTTATTCCCATACTTGATAGAGTACTAAAAATTACAGAGTCACGGTTCATATAATCGAATACCGATCTGATTAGCATGTTATTAGTGAATAGTTAAATCAGAAATACGGAAGACTGTACATCAGGGATATTTAAGTTTGAACTCATAAATCGGAAATGCATACCCTTTTAATTGGATGCTGTTAGGAATGTTAGAAACCGACAAGTGATAATACAAGTCGATTTAACTTTCGATTTCTGATTTTAATAAAATATACTACAAGTCTATGTCTAAGAGAAATTTGATCAACATTTACTGATTAGTGAAAAAATCATTCGTTTCATATGTGCGATGAAAAATTTGAATTTGCAGATGGTATCTGATTCGTACTATCGAAGTCTAATCGAAGCTGTGCGTCAGCTACCGGTACTTTACGACCGAGCACATCCGGATTTCCGAAATGTACGAAAACGCAATGAGGCGTGGAAACTTGTTAGTGAGACATTATTCAAGCGTGGCTTTTCCCCAAATGAAGGTACAGCACTTTATTTCTAAGCATCTGCTAATCGTTATTTATTAAGATCAACAAAAAGTCATTCCTTCATTTTCTGCGAAATATCGGGACATTCTATAGCATTCATCAAAGTATATTGGTATCCCTCGCCCTATGTTATCTTACTCAGAGAAAAATTTTCTTTCTGTTTTATTTGAGTAACTTCAAGCATCTGTAAATACTTCTTTGATCGAAAGTATCCATAGTCATAATTTGTATTTGTTTTTGTTTCTTAGTATTTTTGTTTTGTGTTACAGTTTATCTGTTTATTGTCTATCCATCGACTTGTTTATTATTAATTGACGTATTTAGAAGCAATAATAGTAACTGAGTTCTGTGAAGTCCGAGGATTTCTAACAAACTATGTTTCAGTGTCGGTAACAAAATCAAGAGATCGATGGAAAAGCCTGGTACAGCGTTATCGAACCTCAGGACAGTTTGGGCCAGCATTTATGTTTACTGCGGAAATGCAATTTCTCGATGAATTCCTCAATGCCGTACCGCCACAACCGTAAGTATTTCTGTTACACAGAAATCTGGGAAACAACGGGAATCATTCTGTCTTGAAGTACAAGTCTAGTGAAATCTAATTTGATGATGAATAAACTATTACAGTAAAAGTAATGTTTGGTAAATCCCAAAGCAAAACTTCATATAGCAGAAGTAGCGAAAAACATGTTTTGTGCAAATAAATAAATTCAGAATTGTTTCTTGCTGAGGGCATTGAAGAACGGGGAGAAGGAATTGATGCGACAGGTAGAAGTATTTGGTCCGTAGTATTATTTAACACTTATATGACATAGTTAGCAAAACAATTTCCTCAAAACCTTTTTCAACATTTGTTTGTTCCCTGAATCTGCTATTTAACTGAAGTTTTGCTATGGAATTCACCAAATATTATTCTGCTATAATAGCTTGTGATGTTGAATTTTTTGTAAATTAGTTTACCTGAAATCATTTCGACATGGTCTTATTTTTCATTAATAATTTGTAATGTATGCATTAGGGACTTTGCAACTTTGGAAGAGTAAGAAATATTTGAGCTGGACATTAATGAGAACTGAAAACGTTGATGGAATTTGGCATAAAATTACATGTATTGGATTCAAAAAGATGCAGTTTGGAAATAATATTCATCAAGACAATATGGGAAAAACTAATTGCTTTCATTTTTGTTTTAGAAATATCTTTAAATTAAACGTGTTCTGAACCATTTCTTTTTTTAGAGCAGAGGCAAATTCTCTTCTTGGAAATATGAAGAAAGAGGATAGCGAGTGGGAATTTCCGGCTTTATTTGGTAATGCCAATCAAACTGATAATAATATGTCATTATTTGCAAATATGGATTCACCTGGAGGTTCCTCATCACCTTATGCGCAACAGCAAAATGATATTAATGCAGTTGATGGTACCGGTACTGACGATGGATTGCTAAATGGAAATTGCAATTTCTCTAATGGAAATGGTGCCTCATCTGCACATTGTGTTCCCATATCAATTTCTTCACTGTCTGTAAAGGGTATTCCATTTTTCGAAGCTTTTGTTTATGAAAGCCTTTCATGTATTTTTGTTTATGAACATATAACATATTTGTACACATGCTGGCTAAACTCATTGAAACCAATAATATTTTAATTACAGATCTCATGGCACGGAAGCGACCACGTCAAAATGTTGCGGATGGTCCGACAGCATTAGAGAAAAGAATTGCAAGCAGTTTGGAAACTATTCAAGAATTCATCAGTAATGCATTTCAAAAGCAAAAAGAGCAAGAAACGGAGAAAGAAAAAAGCCCAAATGCTGCTTTGTTTCAATGTATTGATCATCTCACCGCTGATATGTCACCCAAGGAACATCAGGAAGCATTGCGTGAAATCAAACGGTCTTGTGTGAGCATTTGTGCCAGGATTATGTCGGAAACACAGCCATAGGTGTATAATTTTTATCTTATTACATATTCATAGCAAATTATATTGCTTGATTCTCATTATGCTGATCGACGAAGTTTGTCGTTTTACGATAGCTCTAGAAACAAGTTTGGCTTTTTGTGGGCCTAATGCTCTTCGTGGTCATGCATAATTCCAGGGTACTTTTGTTGTCTTTCCCCTTACGAAAATGAGGAAATAACAAAGATATTGGGAAGAATAAATCAGCCTGATGCAATATGTATATCTTTTTCCTTTGAATGAATATTGCTGATATTAAATTAAATTATTCATCCTTTTCTATATTATTTGTAATATTATTATGGTGTAAGTCGCAATACCTTTTGTCGTACTCCATCCTCTCTTCCAAATTTTTCATTGTGTTCTTGATCTCGTTCAATTGACGACAGTGATTTGTTTGTTTTTTTTTTCTAAAAAAACATGGAGAGTATATGAATTATTTACCTGGATTGTGATGATATCTTTCGTTTATTCGAAGAGCTAACATCTTATCTTAATGTCCACAGCCTATTCTTCATTTCTTCTGGAATTTCTTTCGAAAATCGTAGTGGTTATTTGGTTATCTAATTTAATCAGCTATGTTTTTTTTTTGTAATATGTGAAGTTAAGTGGGAACGAACTGTATTATTCAAAAACTTGATGCTTTAACATGTGATTGATTTCATTATGAAGATGGTGACCTCACATATATATGTTTTCGTGAAATGCATCGTATTCCGTCTTGTAATACCTTTTTCGTATACGTTATACCAGAAATGCACGAAGTTATAGCACTTCATATGTACGAAATCGGCATGAATGCTCAGGCATCAAAAAATAGAAAAAAATATTCCTCAAAAGAGCAAGAGTTTTGAAGTAGTAACTTCAGGCCTCCATCTCGATAAATGGGAATGACAAATTATTGCAGAGATTTCAAACAAGAAAGTTTTCTATTAATAGCTCTTTTTACTGGTGTCAAGGAAAGCTGACCTTATCTAATTTCGCACCCAATCCATTGAAATACAGGATAAGTAATTCGTGAAGAAGGGAAGTTTACTCTATTAGTTGCGAAATGCTCAAAACAAGTATCACCAGTCATCACTAATGTACTTCGGACACTCTTGAGATTTTCAGCAGGGAAAAAATCAGATCGGAAGTATGAAAATGTACGGGAGATGCTAATACATTAAAAATTCTGGAAATTTATTGCAAAATTGCAATATGTTCACAAATCAAAGTACATTTCCCATAAATGACATTGAATTCGAATACAGAATTGAAGAATTCTGATCAAAACACTCGAGAAGGAAATCGCAGATTTAAGAAAGACCTTAGAATATCTAATTTAAAGCTATGCTACTTTCCATGCAAGTTCTCTCGAACTATTTATGAAACAATTCAGCATTTTGGAAACCGCACATAAATCCTCTAGAACTATAAGTATGATTCATAGTTAAAATACGGAACATCATATTGGGAATAATACTACTAATAAATGATATACCCTTTTCCATTTCCATTAATTTGTTTCCCGAATACTACTATGCCCCATTCCGCTTATTTTAAAAATTGCTCTACGAACTTCTTTACACATAAAAAACGTCGCATTTTGAGAGAACACCTGAATTTTATCCATCAGAAAGAGATTGATTTCATACATATAAAAAGCTACTATTATCAGTTATCAATTGTTATATTAACCTGCATGGATGAAAGCAAAAACAAAAATAAATACCAATACAAATATTTCAAGAGATCAGCGCATGAAAAAGACGACAAATGCACATAAGGCTGCGAAGAAGGCCACCAACTGAATGACTGCTAATTAACAATTATCAGTTACAACTGGTTAATACCGTATCAAACGCATCATGCAATTAATGACGGTGAACTAATTGAAAGACAAATTTTCATAAAACTGTGAAATTTGACTGAAATAAAATCAAACAGAGACAGGTTTTGTCTTGCAGTACATTCTGCTTTTTTCCGAGCATCATGCCCTTCATCTAGAACATAAACAAAAACTTGATTGCAGATATGAATATTTTTAAAGTACTGACATTACAAGTAATGAAAAATGAGAAATTAATTTTAACTTGAAGAGACTTCTAAATATTAACAACAGAGGTACTTCTCAGCATGTTTTTTCAGTAAATTGATAACCGTATAAGCTTCCGGAAGAGGGCAGCTACCAGAGCCTTGTTGTTCCAATACTTGCTCTACTTGAAATGCAAGCAGAGCTAACTGATCGATTTTACTATAACCACAAAATGGATTTTCTGATGATTTCACCTTCTGAAAATATTGATGAGTAGGAACAAGTGTGTAGAGAGAAAACAGGTAAATTTATTATCAATTACGATTTGATTTATTAGTTTTGGTTAACAAAGAACAAAAAAAAAGAATCTGACCAAGGGAGATAATGCCATAGCATCAAGCAGATCAGCCATCAAGCGAACACTACGGGTACTTTTTTCCTGCAATAGTTCAGATCCTTTCAATACCATAAAACGTAGAGAAAGTTTTTGATAAAAAAAGATGAAATTAATTAAACCTGAAATCCAAAATTGTCTTCTTCAAATTTCTGTTTCAAAAAATAAAATAAAAGACAAAGAAATAAGAAAAGAACGGAGTGAAATGAAAACTCCTTACCGGGCAGTAATCAGGTGAAGAAGCCTGATTAGCTAGTGACTGGATTGTTTTTGGCAACTGGCGAGATTGTTCAGCTGAAATCTTCTAAAAATTATTATACAATTTAATTTCAATTGGCTGCTTGAATTTATTTTCAAATAAGATAAGAATTACTTACTCGAGCTACTGCTGCTAAGAGCCAAAATTGGATTTACAAAGCGCAGAATGAAGAACACACTGAAAATCAATCCGTTTTGTCTTTAGATACACCCGTGAACTAAACGGCAGAAAGAAGCAAAATACTTCTAAACGACACTTTGAAAATTAAAATTAACATCTGTGAAAGGAAAAGTTCCCACCCGAAGGCTTCTTTCCCATTTACGACATAATTAAACAACTAGTAAAGAAAACGGCTACTTCAATGACACTAATAGTCTCAAATTTTCCTTTCTTGCTTTTATAAGATTTGTGGAATTTCCTAGCAAAGTACTTTTGCAGTTTAATTACTAAAAGATATATTTTACCTCGCAACTCGACGAGCAATATATTCAGAATTATTAAAATACGCTTGTGTTGTTTTTATGATATGTGATAGAATGGAGCGGAAAAGAAGAGGTAGATGGTCAGCTAAGCTCTTCAGGGCGTTCATAATTTCCAATTCCTGTTTCGGCGGCCCTGCAGTTAGCAGATTTGCTAACTCTTCTGCAACCAGATCTTTACCAGTCATACGTAGGACTGTTGAAATACAGCAAGTACAAAATGAATCACACCGAAAAAGTGTTACTTCTGAAAGAAAAATTCTATATGAGAAAAACAACTACGAGAAGTTAAAGAATATTCTAACAATGAAATAATTTTCCTCTCTCCCCTAAAACATGCCATGATAAATTTTTAACAAGAACACTACTAACTTTCTATTAAATGCTTAAAGGCAACTGTTTATTTCCTATCAAGAATTTTTCCTTCCCACCCCAATATCTAAAGGACGTTACTAAAAATTCCTATAAGCTTTTACGAGTTTCAATTTCTTTTTGTGTGTTAACTGGTCCTCTCTCAGTTGGAATCTGAATTTCAATACTTCAAAATATTCATTCAAAAATACAAACCAGTTTCATGCTTAATTTGCTCCCTGACAATAACTTCAACAAATGACATCAGTAAGTCATAATTTGGCAATAGAACAGAGAGTAATAAACGAGCAAAACATTTTCGATTAAAGATATCCAAGACTGAGCCAACCCAAATGGATAAAATAAATGATCGCATAGTGAGCAGCACAAAAAAAGAGGAATATTGTTCTTCGGGCAGTAAAACGATGCGATGACGTACTGCACGAAACAAAAACCCTTCAAAATTATCTTCCACACAAAACTCTTTGCCGTCGTCTGCTAATAAATACAGTGGTGATACATCTGAAATTAACTTCAACAAATGTTAACTCTTTCTAAAAAAAATAAGGGAAACCAGCAATATATTGCATAATTTACTGCAAGAATGTCATATTCAAATTTTAGCGATGCATGACATGATTCAGAAAAATAGGAAAGGATAGATGAAAGCATATTATATTACTTGACAAAGCCAATGATAAATAAACTTATGAGATACCTTTCTGAAAATAATCTCTGAATGCGACATTGCGCGTCTTTGTCGGTAGAAGGTTGTGTGAACAAAGCTCAAGTTTCAATGAACATGGCCCCGGAGGAATATACCTGAAGTAGAAATACAGTGGAAAGCAACAGTCGCATCATTTGAGTTGATTTTACAAGTATTTCTGTCATTAGAGTTGATTTTACAGGTATTCATTAAATAATGTTGACGTTATGATAGCTTATCCGTTCAAAAAGGATGTATGAGGTTATTATCAGAAAAGCTTACTGCAGCAGAAAACACCTATTAAATATAATGGTATTTTTTGCAGGCATCACTTGCTGAGTTTTGGTCAAAAAAATCCCGTTGATCGCCACCATCGCACTATATGAGAAATCGGGTTTAAAGTAACTACCCCTGAAATCAATCTGGTCAGCATACCTAATTCGCTAATCATTAGAAAGAACTGATACACTCTTCATATTAAAAAATCTTATCAAATAAAACTATGATCAGTGGTAATGCCAATGCGCTAGCGTTCAACAATAATAGAACGATGTGTTAGCTAGTTATCCCAATGAACAATAAATTAATGAAGTAGAATAGAACAAGAATTGGATTCTTGAGCTTTTTTTCGAAGATTAAGGCATGAATGCATATGCTTACAATTACGCTATTACTGAATAATACATTAAATGCAAATGCAGTTCTAGTAAGAAAAATATGTCATAAAGGAAAATTCTACCTAAAACTTGTTAAGGTTAAATAAATAACAGTTGTTGAGCGAATAAAGTAATCTTGCATGACAGGGATTACAGCAAATGGTGATGGTGAATGACGATAACCGAAGCATTGCAGCCGTAACACATTGAGCCAATTTAGATAAATGCCTTCGTTTTGAAATGATAAGTGAACTGATGGATAAATATCCAGACCATTCAGAGCAACCAGCAAACAATTCGCTCTATCGAATGATCCTTCAGGAATTTTATAAACAAAGCAAAAATCAAGATCCAGAACTACTTTTGGTTTTGTACTCTGCAAAAAAAAGAAGTGTTCTCCTTCATTTTTATGTGAATCATAAAAATAACTTCTAATAATGAAAGTTATAACTTCTAATAACTATAATTTCAATCGGTTAAAAAATAATAATGATACCTTTTCATGATCTAAAACATACAGTTGTGAGCCATCCGAACTATTAAGTCTCACATAACAACGTTTCCACTTATCTTCTTTACCTGAAACTTATCAAAATGCGATTTTGCAAAAAATCACAATAATTCCAATCTTAAGTGATCCTTACTCAAGTCATTATTTTAATGGAAGACATTTATACTGGATAGATCAATATTCAAATAATTTTGAACGTATTCATTAAGACTATTAAAGTAATTTCTTCCGTTTCTGTTCTCACCGTATATGTTAATTTATTGCATAACTGAGTTTGTTAAAGCAAAAGACTAAAATACCCCATTTTTTGAAGAATCTCCTAGCCAAAGATGAGTCAGAGTCTTTAAATGTTAAGCTTAATAAAATTTTTTTCTTTTGAGATGCCTTGAAATTTAAAAAAATAAAGTCAAATAAATAAGTTCTTACATCTTCGATAAGCATATGCTTCCAGAAAGGTCTGTGGAGAAAAACTATTAGTGATAAGACTCTGGAACTTTATGTCTGAACTTTTTTCCGACAAGTCCTTTGTTAACACAGCACGCATCAGATGAAATCCTTCGCAAATTTCCTTTTTGCTATACCTATAAAATAATGAATTTCGAATTTAGAACATATTTTATATAATTCATACTGCTCATCACAATGATTAGTGGATAGGGTGATAGTAGAATAGTACTGCAAATTTGAATCATCAACGGAAATTAGACATTACATCAAAAAGCAGAACATACAGCAAGAACTTCTACCACATGATTCACTATTGAAATCGTGTCAGGAAACTCATGTATAGTTCTATCCGGCATGCGCTTTTACCTTCGCTTTCTTGTTTATTGCATTATTGCATTATTGCATTAGACAACTGGACAAACTGATAGTCTTGGTAGAACAGTCAGTTCCTGTTTAGTAATTTTTTCTTCAATAAGCAAGATAGTCATAACATTTTACGACATTAAACATGTGCATGTGCCAATCCCAACTTTAGCATACGAAATATGAGAATGCACCAATTATTATTGAAATGTATTCATCCGAGTAGTAAAACAATGAAACCAAATTTTACCTTTCAATAATTTCCGGAATTGTCGAAAAAATCCGCCCACCAATTTCAAAATTACCATCTGATGTGTGTTTTATTTGAAATTTTTCAATACGTGTGCCGGTATTTACCATAAGCGTATATGAATTGGGTTGCACAACTGAATGCCGTAAAAGATAACAACCATCACCATCTGCATTTTAATTCATAAATTAATAAATATCTATAAGGTTATGAAGAAAAAACAAACTTAAAATTCCGTTTTTTTTTTGAAAAGAATTAAAGATTTTAAAAAGAGAACCGTATTACATAATTTTCTTATCATGCAAACTAACGCATTTCTCAGTGAGGCACATCTACATTTTGAATTTAATGAGTTATCGTAAGTTATTTCGCTTCATTAATTCTTAGTCAAAAAAGTTTTCGATTTCCTGAACCCTCTCTCTTATATGAATTAAACAAATGTATACAGGGAAATGTAAAAATTACACTGTGCTAGCCGTTGTGCAAGCACATTTACTGGTTCATCATGAAAATATGGTAACTCTTCGGGTTTCACACTCTTGTCGTTCTGCAGTAATAAATAAATGAAATTAAAACATCAGTAAATTTTACCCTTCGCACATTCGAAAGAAATAGGAAACTGAAAAGGACTTATGATTAACTCATAATTTCATTCCAGTTTCTAAAGAAAAGCTATTTCAACGACTGATAACTTTTCCCCATTTTTGGATAATTATACAGTTCTCGTTAAAAATAGAATATAAAAGAGGTATAAGGAGTTTCGAAGTAGTTCTGCTACTACATTTATAATGGATTGAAAAGGACTAACTAATGGAACGGTAAGCTGCACAGCGATAAGTCCAGATTTCCCATTTTTCTCCAGTCTCGCCCATGCCCATTCACTATCCACTCGTTGGATTTCCGTTAACAAATCGCCTTCACAAAAGCTGAATAATACGAATTCAACTTAGTTTTGTTTCAATATCTACTAATATACGTGCTTTGATAACAACATGAATATGATAATTTAAGAAAATCATAATAAGCAGATGATACAGCAATATATTTTTCAGAAGAAAATACAGCCCAATATCGAAAATTCGAAATCCAAAATCAGAAAATTTTATCTAAACTATGAAAATCAAAGATTTGTGAAAATCGTAGTGAAATGAACAGTTAAACGCAAAATTAAAACACATCAAAAGCAAAAAAAAATTGAAAAATATGAAACTAATTTTACCACTACCTTATTTCGTCTGTATCGGGCATTGCACGAAACGGTAGGACGGCTATCCTTTGACGGTTAATTAATTTCACCGGCTACAAAAAGAAAACTAAATAGAAAATACGTGATTCAAACTTTTCGCCAGATTTGCGAATCAACTGCTCCAAAATTATAGTTTTGTTTAACATATCGTGGTCTTCTTTCACTTTCACCTAAATCTATGCCTCTTCCCTTTGAAAGAGGAGAGCGAACAGGAAGTATGAAATAAATATGCAACAAGACATACCGAAGGTGGCTGAAGTGGTAGCACTGCTGTTTTTGATTCACTTATAAATGCTTGAATTAGACCAGATAACGTTGTAAAGGATTTTCCAGACAGGAAATATTCATCAGAAACTCGATCAATGCTGAAAATTCCACATTTATCAAATACGATGAAAACAGGAAGTTACTAATTAAAAAATAGATAAGAAACTTCATTTATAAAGACCAGAAACCATATTTCTTTTAGTCAGGAAAATTTTTTAGAAATAACTGATTACAAATTTTTTACTCAGTGTCCCACTTAAATGAAATCAAAATAACACCATATCCTATTTTACCTAATTGACACTTCTTTCTTCTCCTTCTTTCTTCCTTCTCAAAACGAACAGCGACGTTAATTAAAATTTAATAAGCATTGCTTTAGTATGAAAACTTTTAGATTTCATTTCATACCAATTACAGTATATTTTATACTGAAAACAATAGATAAGAATTCGAGAAAGTACAAAGATTTTTCAAACCAAGAATCTCCCTTGTAAATGGAATTATAAACCAGTAAAATTCTATAAAATAATCATGAAGCCCTTTTTTACAAAATTATCAACGAAAAGGTTTCAAATCCCCACAGCGGCAAAGGAACTACATATTTAGGATAAAAACAAGACCACTTCCAACACTACTATTATATTACGTGATGGTGTTATCTTTCAGGAAGTTGATATGACATTAAATTGTGAGAAAACTTACGACAAATGCATCACTGAATTACTAGTTGGCGGAAGCCAAGAAAGACGAAATTTCGGTGTGAGAGAATTTTGTTCAGCATGCAAAATCAATGCACCATCAGTTTCACATTTTCGTAACCGATATTCCACTTCTTCTTCTGTGATAAAACCATGGAAACAATCCACCGAATCTAATGATGAACTTGACTTCTCTTCTACTTCCGTTCTCAATCTCGATTCATGTTCATACACCCGTTGCTTCTCGTCCATCCCATCTTCCGTTGTATTCGACATCAGACCATCTGGAATAATTTAGAATTATGCAAAACAAAATTTGAAACGATTCGATAACGCAATCTATACGGAAAACAGAAACAAATCGTAAAATTCTAACTTCATTAAACTTATCATGAAGATATTTTAAGTAAAAATAATTACAGGTTATTAAAAGGAGGAGAAAAGGTAAAATTGAAATTTTCAAACTAAAACTGGTAAGAAAAGAACAGAAAGAAGAAAGACGATAGCTTATTAACTAGAAGTACCTATCCTATCCTCTCCTACTATGTTAAAGAGAGAGACATATGAAGAACAGAACCTATAACAGGAAGATGAAAGATTAAAAGAAAATGAGAGCTGCTATTTTTAAAACCAACGACTAATAACAAAATTACAAATACTATGGATGGAAAGTTTATGACTGAAAAAATACACTATAAAAAAACGAAAAATTTTCAACTAGAGCATAAAAAAAACTTGACAATTTTGCTGACTTGACAATTCATCGCATTTTGCTGAAAAATTCATAAAAGTTTTGTATGATACCAAATAAAAAATGTAGAGCAACGAATGATATGAATAAATGATACAACGAAGAGATGGCTACCAAACAACTGTTTAAAAGCAAATATCCAATTCATCCTATTGTGGATATCAATCGCATGATGGCGACCCCATATCATCAAAATTTTCTGCGTTAACAATTGAATTCAATTTTATCTACAATTTTTTTATTTCATTTATTCGCCAAATTGTTGAACAAAAAAAAAAGAAAAATTATTACTGCTAAAATAACACCGTTTATCATTAATTTAAAAAGAAAGAAAATCTGCAAAAATTTTTAAAACAGAAAATACAGATAAATTTTTTGAAAGGAAAAGACAGACAAATACTGAGAAAGATAGATGTATATAACAAATCCGTATTATTGCGAAATATCATTCTTATGTAAGAAGTTTTTTCCTTCTCGTTTAGCCAACCAAAAGCAGAAAATATTATTGAAATCAATAATTCAAAAAAAAAAAAGATGAAATAAGTAACTTTAATAGTTTTTCACAAAAAGATGATAGGTTATTTAGAAATTGAAAATGCTTGCTGGCTGGCTGATTAAGGAAATCTCAGGAATTGTGGATTCGTCGATAACATTAAAGCTTCCACCTATTTCATAGACAAATCTACATTTGATTAAATTTTCAAAAAAAAAAAGATAAAAATCATACCAGCAAACTGCATTTATATTGAATATTAATTACATACCTTCTTTTTTTTCATCGTGATTCAAACAAAATATGCAACGCTTTAATCCCAACCGTAATTCCAACCGATAATAATATACCATTAATTGTCGTGTTAATTCAACGGATTAGTTAATTTAAGTGCAAACTTAAAACTTGATCAAAATTTTACATTTAACTGTCATTTTGAAATCAAATAATATGATAAAGTATTTGTTGCTAAGCTGCAGGTAATTGCAAGAAAACTTTACACAAATGACAGCTAAGGCTAGTGTTTCATTAAACTACTAATGTAAGAATTTGTGGGGTATTTTAAGCCTAACAAAAAAAAAAGCGATAACATTTTATTATCAAACAAAAAGAAAGAAAAAGAGAGCAAGAGAAAATGCGTAAAAATAAAGGCTAAAGCATATTGTCTCATTTCAGTATTGCCTATAATGTCATGCCTATATATGGAAGAATTATTATTTCAATATCTCCACTCTCATTTCAAAATTTTAGCAATAATTAAAAAACAAAAGACAAAAAGGAAAGACGATAATTTCAGAGCTATAAATAATAGAAATTAAAATGTTCTAATATTTTAAAATTAAATAAAAAATTATCACACAAAAAAAAGAGGCGAAATTTTAACGTTTTCAACAAAAAAAAAATTTGTTGAAATGAAGGAAATAGAGAGAGAGAGAGAGAAAGAGAAAGAAAAGAAATGTATAAAAAAGATGAAAAAGAAATGGAAGAGAAGAGGAATAAAATAAATTTCCTTGTTAATTGAAGAAATTTAATTACAAGTGATGATAACATTTCATAGTAAATTAGTGGTTAGGTGAGGTTTTTACGTAATGTCGCAAAATGTTAAAATGAAACACTTCATCGTATTTTTTAATTTAAGAAGCTTGTATATGCGTAGGTGTATGTGTAGGTGGTAAGTGTGTGGGAGTCTATGTGTGTGTGTATGTATGTGGGTGTACACGTATCTATAGGTATAACATTATTACAACGCGGTGGTAAGTGTGTGGGAGTATATGTGTATGTGTGTGTATGTGGGTGTACACGTATCTACAAATATAATAATATTACAACGCGGCGGTGTGTGGGAGTGTATGTGTGTGTGTGCATATGGGTGTGCACGTATCTACAGGTATAATATTACTATAATACGGTGGAGTGTGGGAGTGTATGTGTATGTGTATGTATGTGGGTGTACACGTATCTACAGATATATTATTACAACACGGCGGTGTGTTGGAGTATATGTGTATGTATGTAGGTGTACACGTATCTACAGGTATAATATTATTACAACGCAATCAATTTTCAATAATTTTTTTACGCCACACAGATCTATCCTTTTTCCCATCTAAAATGATTGCTCACTATTTTTTTTAGTCCCTTTTCATTTTATCAAAATAATTTCAACAATATGTGTAAACAATATTTCCGGTACAATTTAAAGCTGGAATTTATTTGAAGCGATTTAAAAGATGCAAAATGGGGGAGAAAGGAAAACATGACAACTATGATAACTTATAAAGAATAGATAGAAATTCAAGATGGTAAGCTATCAAAGCTATATTATATTATACGTTGGAAGATGTTGTAAAAAATTTTTCCATTACTTATGCTAACAGTTTATGCTAACACTATAAATTTATTATTATTATTATAAAAATCTAATTTAATTAAATTTAGGTAAATCTTGCTATTAAATAAATTTATTTATGAATACGTTTGCAGCACAAAATTTAAGAATGAAATTAAAGAATTACTTCAATCTTCTATATACGATAGTTTAAAATGATAAGGTGATAAGAAAAATGTATTCTCTTCCCTTTCTTTTTCTTTCATTTGAATAATTTAACGCCTTCTTATTTCTTTAGTTGATTTATCAGTTGATTACTGATATTTATAGAATTTAATAATTGATTACTGATTTATCAGTTGATTACTGATATTTGTAGAATTTAATAATTGATTACTGATTTATCAGTTGATTACTGATATTTGTAGAATTTAATAATTGGCTACCGATTTATTTATTGATTACTGATATTTGTAGAATTTAAGAATTAGTAATTAAATGCTTTAATATTTATGGAATTTAATAATTAATAGTTATCTGAAATATTGTTTAGTATCTATTTCAATCTCAACCCGTTTATTTACACCAACGCATGAAAGATAAAATAAGTTTTTTTACCTTTATGCCAATAAAGAGAATTAATTACTACTGTAATACTTATAAAGATAATTAATTTACAATACTAAATTTTAAATTAACTTATTCAGTAATGTATTATTTTTATCCGTAACATTATGTTAATCATAGATTTTCGCATTTTAATTGTAACAATAGGATGGTACCATTCGTTACAACTGCTTACTTCAAATGATCTGAAATACGATAAATGTATAAAATTGTAATATCAAATAAAAGAAATCATTTTAATATGAATTTTTAAATTTCAGGAAAAAAGAAAATTGGGAGAAGAGAGAGAGAAGATTATATTACTATATAGAAATTTTCGAATAGCATCAAATAAACGAAGTATAGGAAATAATAATAAATAATATTGAAAATGATCAGTTTAAGGAGAGGGAGAGAGAGAGAGAGAGAGAGAGAACCGAAAAGAAAACATCTGTTGTTCAAATTGAAACACTTCAAAAGATTTGGAATACGAAAATGAAATTTCATTTCCAAAACTCTTTCTTCTCACGCGATACACAAAAACATATTTATCATAGAATTTAAAGAGGAGATGGGAGATGAAAAACGAATTGTTGGAATTGGAAATCATTCAAAGAGAATCGCAATTAATCAAAGAATTACTGTTAGCTGTCAATAAATTAAATTTGATAAAGAAGAGTTAAATAAAAATAAAGTCTATTGTTATGTATTATCAAGAAATAATATGAGAAATATAATATGAAATATGATAATTTTTGATAATTGCATTAAATTTTAATCATATTATCATGAATGAATAAATCGAACTGTAAAATACCGATGTTTAAACAATCTATAACGGAAATTTCGTTCCGGAAATGATGAGATGATATATGATCGTTTATGATACATACAATCAACAACACCATTAAATGTATGATAATAATGAAGGAATACTCATATTGTAATGAATGAATGAATCGAACTGTAAAATAACGATGTTTAAACAATCTATAACGGAAATTTCGTTCCGGAAATGATGAGATGATATATGATCGTTTATGATACATACAATCAACAACACCATTAAATGTATGATAATAATGAAGGAATACTCATATTGTAATGAATGAATGAATCGAACTGTAAAATAACGATGTTTAAACAATCTATAACGGAAATTTCGTTCCGGAAATGATGAGATGATATATGATCGTTTATGATACATACAATCAACAACACCATTAAATGTATGATAATAATGAAGGAATACTCATATTGTAATGAATGAATGAATCGAACTGTAAAATACCGATGTTTAAACAATCTATAACGGAAATTTCGTTCCGGAAATTATGAGATGATATATGATCGTTTATGATACGTACAATCAACAACACCATTAAATGTATGATAATAATGAAGGAATACTTATATTGTAATGAATGAATGAATTGAACTGTAAAAATATTAATGTTTAAAAATATTTTTTTTTCCTGGTTATTTTTATAACGGAAGTATCGTTCCGGAAATGATGACATGATATATGATCGTTATGATACGCACAATCATCAATACCATTAAATGATGATGAAAGAGGAAGAAAGGTGAAATGTTTC